CATGCACACAGTCAACCCACACATTGCCGTAACTCCGTCTACATGCACACAGTCAACCCACACATTGCCGTAACTCCGTCTACATGCACACAGTCAACCCATACATTGCCGTAACTCCGTCTACATGCACACAGTCAACCCACACATTGCCGTAACTCCGTCTACATGCACACAGTCAACCCCCCAAATTTGCCGTAACTCCGTCTACATGCACACAGTCAACCCACACATTGCCGTAACTCCGTCTACATGCACACAGTCAACCCACACATTGCCGTAACTCCGTCTACATGCACACAGTCAACCCATACATTGCCGTAACTTCGTCGCCCTAACTTAACTGATCTGATGTACAGGAATTTTCAGGTCGAGAATCTAATTATTTACCAGTTATATAACAGGTTTTTGTTTTCTTTGTATTTAATAAACAATTTTATCTAATGCCCTTTTCAAATATTATCATTATTATTATTATTATTATTATTATTATTATTATTATTATTATTATTATTATTATTATTAGTATTATTATTACCTATAATTATAAAGGTCTTCCCTGACACCCTTTGTTAAGTTTTGTCACAATTTGTGTCATCTTCTCTCCGTCTGTCATTTTATCCTCCAAATCTTTAAAATAAATTCCTAATAGGATATCCCAATTTTCCTTCAGAATCTTTTCACCCGCCGAAGGTGTTATCGCATCCGGTCCGGTTGTATTTTTTCTTGCCACCATCCAGCAACATTTTTCTTGCCACCATCCAGCAACATTTTTCTTGCCACCATCCAGCAACATTTTTCTTGCCACCATCCAGCAACATTTTTCTTGCCACCATCCAGCAACATTTTTCTTGCCACCATCCAGCAACATTTTTCTTGCCACCATCCAGCAACATTTTCTTCACTTCTTCCTCAGATATTTCAGTATTATAACTGTCTGGGATCAATATCTTCTGCACTCACAATATTTTCTTTGTCAACAAAGAAACTTGTTTTTATTCAATACTTCACATATTTTCTCCTCTACCTCAGTTGTTTTTCTGTCGAACTTTGTTATTTGTATTTTTTCTTTAATACAACCTATGTTGGTCTTGACCTTGGTGTATGTATGAGAGAGTTGGTCTTGTCCTTGGTGTATGTATGAGAGAGTTGGGCTTGTCCTTGGTTTTATTTTATGAGAGAGTTGGTCTTTCCTTGGTGTATGTATGAGAGAGTTGGTCTTGACCTTGGTGTATGTATGAGAGAGTTGGTCTTGGCCTTGGTGTATGTATGAGAGAGTTGGTCTTGACCTTGGTGTATGTATGAGAGAGTTGGTCTTGGCCTTGGTGTATGTATGAGAGAGTTGGTCTTGACCTTGGTGTATGTATGAGAGAGTTGGTCTTGGCCTTGGTTTTATGTATGAGAGAGTTGGTCTTGGGCCCTTGGTGTTTTGTATGAGAGAGTTGGTCCCTTGGCCTTGGTGTATGTAAAGAGAGAGTTGGTCTTGGCCTTGGTGTTGTATGAGAGAGTTGGTCTTGACCTTGGTGTATGTATGAGAGAGTTGGTCTTGGCCTTTTGGGGTATGTATGAGAGAGTTGGTCTTGACCCTTTGGTTTTATGTTTGGGGAGAGTTGGTCTTGGCCTTGGTGGTATGTATGAGAGAGTTGGTCTTGGCCTTGGTGTATATATGAGAGAGTTGGTCTTGACCTTGGTGTATGTATGAGAGAGTTGGTCTTGACCTTGGTGTATGTTATGAGAGAGTTGGTCTTGGCCTTGGTGTATGTTTTGAGAGAGTTGGTCTTGACCTTGGTGTATGTTGAGAGAGTTGGTCTTGGCCCTTTGGGGTATGTATGAGAGAGTTGGTCTTGACCTTGGTGTATGTATGAGAGAGTTGGTCTTGGCCTTGGTGTATGTATGAGAGAGTTGGTCTTGGCCTTGGTGTATGTATGAGAGAGTTGGTCTTGACCTTGGTGTATGTATGAGAGAGTTGGTCTTGGCCTTGGTGTATGTATGAGAGAGTTGGTCTTGACCCTTTGGGGTATGTTGAGAGGTTGGTCTTGACCTTGGTGTATGTATGAGAGAGTTGGTCTTGGCCTTGGTGTATGTATGAGAGAGTTGGTCTTGACCTTGGTGTATGTATGAGAGAGTTGGTCTTGACCTTGGTGTATGTATGAGAGAGTTGGTCTTGGCTTGGTGTATGTATGAGAGAGTTGGTCTTGACCTTGGTGTATGTATGAGAGAGTTGGTCTTGGCCTTGGTGTATGTATGAGAGAGTTGGTCTTGGCCTTGGTGTATGTATGAGAGAGTTGGTCTTGACCTTGGTGTATTTTAGAGAGAGGTTGGTCTTGGCCTTGGTGTATGTATGAGAGAGTTTGGGCTTGGCCTTGGTGATGTATGAGAGAGTTGGTCTTGGGCCTTGGTGTATGTAAAAGAGAGAGTTTGGGCTTGACCTTGGTGTATGTATGAGAGAGTTGGTCTTGACCTTGGTGTAAGTATGAGAGAGTTGGTCTTGACCTTGGTGTATGTATGAGAGAGTTGGTCTTGACCTTGGTGTTTGTATGACAGAGTTGGTCTTGACCTTGGTGTATGTATGAGAGAGTTGGTCTTGACCTTGGTGTAAGTATGAGAGAGTTGGTCTTGACCTTGGTGTATGTATGAGAGAGTTGGTCTTGACCTTGGGGGTTTGTATGAGAGAGTTGGTCTTTGACCTTGGTTTGAAATGAGAGAGTTGGTCTTGACCTTAGTGTAAGTATGAGGGGAGTTGGTTTTTAAACTTAGTGTTTGTATGAGAGAGTTGGTCTTGACCTTGGTGTAAGTATGAGAGAGTTGGTCTTGACCTTGGTGTAAGTATGAGAGAGTTGGTCTTGACCTTAGTGAAATTGAGAGAGTTGGTCTTGACCTTGGTGTATGTATGAGAGAGTTGGTCTTGCCCTTTTGGTGTATGTATGAGGGGTTTTTGGTCTTGACCTTGGTGTATGTATGAGAAAGTTGGTCTTGACCTTGGTGTAAGTATGAGAGAGTTGGTCTTGACCTTAGTGTAAGTATGAGAGAGTTGGTCTTGCCCTTTTGTGTAAGAAATGAGAGTTTGGTCCTTGACCTTGGTGTATTGTATGAGGGAGTTGGTCTTGACCTTGGTGTAAGAATGAGAGAGTTGGTCTTGACCTTAGTGTAAGTATGAGAGAGTTGGTCTTGACCTTGGTGTATGTATGAGAGAGTTGGTCTTGACCTTGGTGTATGTATGAGAGAGTTGGTCTTGACCTTGGTGTATGTATGAGAAAGTTGGTCTTGACCTTGGTGTAAGTATGACAGAGTTGGTCTTAACCTTAGTGTAAGTATGAGAGAGTTGGTCTTGACCTTAGTGTAAGTATGAGAGAGTTGGTCTTGACCTTGGTGTATGTATGAGAAAGTTGGTCTTAACCTTGGTGTATGTATGAGAAAGTTGGTCTTGACCTTGGTGTAAGTATGAGAGAGTTGGTCTTGACCTTAGTGTAAGTATTTGAGAGTTGGTCTTGACCTTAGTGTAAGTATGAGAGAGTTGTTCTTGACCTTAGTGAAAGTATGAGAGAGTTGGTCTTGACCTTGGTGTAAGTATGAGAGAGTTGGTCTTGACCTTGGTGTAAGTATGACAGAGTTGGTCTTAACCTTAGTGTAAGTATGACAGAGTTGGTCTTAACCTTAGTGTAAGTATGAGAGAGTTGGTCTTGATCTTGGTGTAAGTATGACAGAGTTGGTCTTAATCTTAGTGTAAGTATGAGAGAGTTGGTCTTGACCTTAGTGTAAGTATGAGAGAGTTGGTCTTGACCTTAGTGTAAGTATGAGAGAGTTGGTCTTGACCTTAGTGAAAGCATGAGAGAGTTGCTCTTGACCTTAGTGAAAGCATGAGAGAGTTGGTCTTGACCTTGGTGTAAGTATGAGAGAGTTGGTCTTGACCTTAGTGTAAGTATGAGAGAGTTGGTCTTGACCTTAGTGTAAGTATGAGAGAGTTGGTCTTGACCTTAGTGTAAGTATGAGAGAGTTGGTCTTGACCTTGGTGTAAGTATGAGAGAGTTACTCTTAACCTTGGAATTTTTTAAATCCTACATCCTTTAATGATTTACCTTGATGTTAGTGAAGGCTTTTCTCCCAAAGAAATAGAGATGAACTTTCCTTCCGTCACCCAAACTTGATTACCAGTTCCGCCTCTTTCCTAGGCGCTGTTTGAGCGTCACGAATTTAATGATCCCCCATTAAGGCTCGTGAGGATGTCAAGGATGAGGGTGTATGTGAGAAGGGAAACCTATAATTTCTTAGGAATGTGAAATATCTTACTGCTAGTTAAACAGGAGCAATACTTCTCTTCCTCCCGGTTGTAAGCCCGGAAGCTCTTGTGTTTTGAAAGAGCATCACTGGTGGGTGTTGTGGTTGTGTGTGGCTGAGTGTGACTGTGTGGGGCTGTGTGGGGCTGTGTGTGGCGTGGCTGTGTGTGGCTGAGTGTGGCTGTGTGTGGCTGAGTGTGGCTGTGTGTTGCTGAATGTGACTGTGTGTGGCTGAGTGTGACTGTGTGGGGCTGTGTGGGGCTGTGTGTGGCTGTGTGTGGCTGTGTGTTGCTGAATGTGACTGTGTGTGGCTGAGTGTGACTGTGTGGGGCTGTGTGTGGCTGAGTGTGGCTGTGTGTGGCTGAGTGTGGCTGTGTGTTGCTGAATGTGACTGTGTGTGGCTGAGTGTGGCTGAGTGTGGCTGTGTGTGGCTGCCAGCAGTGAGAGTTGCGGGGAAAGTGACGATCACCACCATCTGCTCGGGAGAAACGTTCCCATGGGCGATATTTCCTTTTTGCTATTTACCACCACATTTTGTTATACCTGATCACTGCAAAACACAGACAATCTGCACGATTCTGCGTGAGATTTTACAAAAGCAAACAAGAAACGATTCTACGGGACGCAAAATATCCATTAAATTAAACATAACTATCACCTACGCTCGGTTCTTGCAGTATAGAAAGTAAGTGGTGTGTGGCAGCCTCGCTGCGTCGTGTCTAGAGGTATATAAGCAACAACAGCTGCCGCAGAGGAACCACAGAAATCAAAGCAACCACCAAGACTCAACACAAGCTTGAGAGGTACACTAACACTTCATTATGTCACCTCTGAAGCTGGTAAGTTGAGACAAGTTGTTTATGTTTCATCTAGGTTCGTAAGTCGAGTTACACATTGTAATTCGACGTAAGGCAGAATAATTGTCCTGCCTTAAGGATGACGCAGGTGTGTGTATAGGAGCACAGAGGGAATTATTGCAGGTGTGTGCATACAGGTGTAACAGAGGAGTAATTACAGGTGTGTGTGTGTGTGTGTACAGGTACTGGTGGTGACGTTGGCTGCAGGTATGGCCAGCGGGGAGTACGTGGGCCACCTGGGCCACTTGGACCACCTGGGCCACTTCATCACCAAGAGGGCTGTCCTCCTCGACAGCGAGTTCGGTAAGATCTTCTTCTTCTGGATTCTCTGTTCCGTACGTTTTATCTTCTCTTCTTCCCTGTTATCTTGATCTTCCCTCTCCTCTTACATGTCTTCTAGAGCTTCTCTCTTCCTTTTCTTCCCTCTGATTTTGCGTTAACCCATCCCTTTTATCACTGTCTTCTTGTATTTCCTTGTTCTCTTCTTCTGACTCACGAAATCGTAATGACGGCAGTGAAGGGACTTGAGCTAGAGTTCGTCACGGCCACGCTAGCTGGAGATTCGTCTGTAAAAACTTGTATTTGTGGTCACAGTGGTGCCTGTGCTAACCTTCCTGTGGTGTAGAAATATACCTAATTGGACGAATCTTATTGTGGCTAGCTGGTCTAGTGGCTAACGAGACGGGCTGGAGTTTTGAGACTCTCTGACCGCGGGTTCAATCCCGGCCGGGGTATGGTCTCTTCTTCTGTCTTCTTGTATTCCCGTATTCACTTATATATATATATATATATATATATATATATATATATATATATATATATATATATATATATATATATATATATATATATATTATATATATATATATATATGATGGTTACTGTACGTGTCTGATATGCGAGAGACCCTAGGTTCCAGTCCTAGGTTCCAGTCCTAGGTTCCAGTCCTAGGTTCAAGTCCTAGGATCAAGTTCTAAGGAGCCTCTATCTTTAATTCGTCAAACCACACAAGGGCGACTTTTCCCTCAGGAATGAATGTATCTTCGTCCATAAGACATATCTAATCACCAAGCTCACGCCAGCATAATTCTAACAAAAAGGGCACAATACTGTGACTTTGTAAATGGTCCAAGTCGGACCGAAACGTCCGACTTGGGGTTATTTGTGTATAGCATAATTCTTTAGGGATTATACGAAAATTCCTAACTTACTGTTTGGAATTTTCCTAGACAATATTTTTTTTTTTAGAGATTTTTGCAACATCTTCAGAGAGAGAGAGAGAGAGAGAGAGAGAGAGAGAGAGAGAGAGAGAGAGAGAGAGAGAGAGAGAGAGAGAGAGAGAGAGAGAGAGAGAGAGAGATGAGTGACGCAGGTGACCCATTCACTATCAAGGTCACACGGTGAAGCACCAGATTTTCATTTCAGGCTCCAAAGTTGACGTGTTTCTGCCGCAGATTTATGACCATTCAACATATCCATCTGTTGACCCGTCTTCACCAGAAACCCGCACTTACGAGAGGAACCGGATAACAACGTGTCGATTTCCTGGACCACTGTCCAATTGTCAAGTCACAGTCGTGACTTGACAATGGTCCGGGACGGACCGAAACATCTTCATTATGTTCCTCTCCTAAGCGCGGATTGTGACTTTTATTCTTTATTAACCCGTCTATTAGGTTAACATAAATTATCCAGAAGCTAATATTGTGTTGACCTTACCTTCATATTTGCCCCAAGACCTTTAAGAAGCGTACATATTCTTCATTGCCAAAACTTCAACTTAGCACTTCATCGACTAACTTCCTATCAGTCTGGCAGGACTCCAACACTCCCTGATCAATCCTCTGCGGCTCTGAGATAATCCTTCTTGAGGGAGGAAAAATAATGTAGGTCTTGAGTTGCCCATCAACGAGAAATATGTAAAGATAATACCTGCAAAACAGACAATAAAAGATTTGCTGCTCAGAATTCGTACTCTGGGTGAACTGTGGTAGACCAGACTGCTACCACAGTTCACCCAGCTGGTATCAGGTAATAATTGTAATAGAAGGGATTATTTCTGTGCCCGTGGTGCAGAGGTAACTATGCTTGCCCAGTGTCCGTAATTATGCAGTTCGAAACCCATATAATTCCTTCCTCATATAATGTTACATTCATGTTCGTGGGATATTTAGTGTTCATTATTATTAGCATCAGTGAATGTTAAGGGCATATCCCGTAGACTTTACAGGCAGAGAATAGTAATGTCAGATCCCCTAGACTTAATACCAACAATGAACGATACTTCTAATTTTGTTGGCCCTACTGACGCGGCTCCTGCAACGCTCATGAGCCGTTACTCTGTATATTAACTGTGTTCCTGAAGGCCGTAG